CTAAGAATGTCTGAGGTCATAGGGCTTTTAAGGAACAGTGCCAAAGATTTCGGATATCAAGTTTGTTAGGTGGTGGTCAAACTATTTCTGGGGGGCAGCTAAAAAAATCCCTGAGAAAATCAAGTTGGTGTGATTTGTTTCCGGTGCCATATATTTTCACAAACCTGAGATCAGCGCAACTACGAATAACTTTTACCTTTTGAAAGAGTAGCCCGAAAATTCCCGCAGTGTTCAAAAACGTTTGATTGCTGCTACAAGAACCAGGCTTCAACCCGCCCGGACCTGAACATTATCTGTGCTGTCAGGCCCATACAGACCTTCACCTCTTATTAGCTTCTAAAAACACCCTGCTTCATAGAGCTACACTATGCGGCAGTAGAATGGTGAGTAATATACTCTCGCCATTTCACTTTATTACAGCACTTAGTTTAAAATTCAGAATGCGCTAACAGTTTTACGCTTCATTGGGCATAAACTGAATAAATACATAACTTATTTCGTAGTACGGAGCCTTCCTTCAAAATTTTACATGCATTGAACTGGTCAAGAAATTCTCACCTTTATGGAACACGAATTTAATATTGTGCTGAAAAAAACACGCAATTCTCTTCTATCCTGAGCTGGGTCTGGCCGGTCTACACGTCGTCAAACATCTATCTGTACACAGCGTCGGTGAATGCACGTACCTGGCCACCACTTGCTTGCTGTCAGACTTCGAAATGCACTGCGGCAGTCTTCAGACGGCCATCCTTCATATTGGTGCCTGCCCCACTCTGCGCCAAGAGGAAGTGTGTGCTACCACATTCGTGGTGAAAACACTGACTCGGTCTCGAAAAACCTCGGACAGTGTGTTCCGTGTCTCGGACGGCTGCACCTCAATGTCTACCTCACGAATTTCCTTATACGTACGTCTTTTTATCACCGCTCGTAGGATGTTCCAAGTTGCGATCTTGAAGTCGCGCAGAACAGCACAACCTCCACATCAACATCCAAATCCGTCCAGTGGTTCTCGATGTGAATCGACTGGACAGACACGACCATCCCATAATGCGTTCTCGCTATGCACTTCGCGCAAGGAACGCATAATAACGGCGACTTCCGAAGAGCAGAAGTTGAACCGGCCGCTCGGTCTAAGACGTGGGTCGAAATCGTTCCCTTAATTTGTGGATATTCTGTACAGGCGGTTGCGATAAGCTGGGTGTCCAGCTAGGATGTCGGAGACCGGAAAATGCGAACAGGATTTTGTTGTAAAGGCAGACAAGGAGACTTAACATCAAGATAGAGCCCTAGATAAATGGAATGTGAGGCTGGGAGATGAATAGAACTAGCTCAGGATGCGTTCAGTGATGTTTTAATGGTACTGGCAGTGTCAAACCCTCCGGTTCTACTACCAGAGACTTGTTATAGGTTTACATGTAGGATGTTCACCAAGACAACTGAAATATGCAGCTCACCTTCATACTATCCGCATTTTTCAGTGGAAAAGCATTTAATTTTTGAACGCGTGTGAGTAAAGGAAACCGATTCTCTTCATTTGCTCAGAAGTTTTGCGGCGGAGAGGGTCTCGGGTTCGATTCCCGGCAGCGCCCGAATTTATAAGTTGTGTTGGGCAAGGCCGTGGTCTAGGCAACACGGAGTTTTCTTCCGGGGGTTTCCCCGGTTTCTCCGTGGCATCCCAACAATTACTCCATTCACACACAGAAGAAGGCAATGGCAAACCACTTCTGGATCATCTGCCAAGAACGCATATGAACAGGTCCCAGTCCGAGAAAAGGATGGAAGGATCCTGTTCATATGGACCTGTCGTCAGACAGAACACTAAATAAAATACGCGATGCCACCGAAGATGATCCATTGGTCATCTGGTGATGGGTTTGATGCAGGAGGAGAAACAAGGTTCACCTCCTTTTCCCACCTTCGTTTCCCGCGCAACTGCGCGCAATTCAGGACCAATTTTATCTCGCCTGTAACAATCGGCGCAACATTTCAAGATATTTATTTTTCATTCTGAGTTGCGCAAACAACTTTCCCTCTAGCTGCGTTACAGTGCCACGATATCACGTGTTTTGTTCCATCGTGTGGAAGGTTAGTTGAGGGTAATTTACAGTTTCCGGTTTCTTGTTAGGCCTACATCCTGACACGCGAGTGGCAGTTCGTTAGTTAAATCTAATACAGCATTCCAATTTGGATCGCACAGGATTTCGACACGATAAAATTTTATTCGGACGGGATCTCAAAAACGTAGGGCGTAAAACAATAGCTATAAAATATTTTAGTGACAAAAATCTTGACGCCTTTAATAATTATATTAAAATTTCTAAACCGAGATATTAAGATTTACATCTTCGGCAGTATCAGGCTAAGCAACCTCTGTAATGTTGATGATGATTTTCGGACAATTAGACAACAAGAAAATGAGCTTTATTAATGTAAATAAATGGGACGTGGGTCAAATCGATCATCGTACTAACCATCAGCTGATTTTTGGTGATTCCCCGTTCTTCTAATCCGCCAGTAACTCCCATGCCTACAACAAATTGCAGTATTATGAGCTCGGGTAACTCAGTTATGTGATAACCTACGGACATGACGGCCGGGATTTGATTCCCAAAAGAGCGATATGATGACTATTAATCATGTCCAGTAGATAACCTATGAACGACTCTCAAGCAAACACAGTTTCCTTCCCAATATGTTCCGCTGAGGACAGACGGGCAAAGCGTGAAACTGATCACTCATCTCTTTCGGTCACAGTGAGAAGCGACGTTTCATATTATGGAAATATCGAGTTCAAACCTGGCCCCGGAAGTCGGCTATTCTAACAAACATTAATTAATTTCCTCAGTCTCTCCAGGTAAATTCTGGGACAATGCTTGGAGCAGGCTATGACCAATTCTTCCACATCCTTTCCGATTCGTCATTCACAGTCATCCTACCATTTAGCGCGAAATAACTAAAATAAGTCAGATTGAAAATGGCACCGAATTAAAAATGCACAGAGTTGTATCTTCACACGCCTTCGTGGCTTCATTAGAGCCTGTTTATACTGAAGCAAGGCAATATTTTGCACCTGTTCACTTTCTCTTTCGCACTCTTCCGTGTTGGACATCACTTGCTGCTCTATATTCCACTCACTGTTTGTTTAATTCTAGCATAAACAAGTACAATTGCATTATTCTGCGTAATGTTTCATTGACTTGTTTCATAGCTCGTACTATTTATATGCTATTAAAATAGTAAGCCTATCACCAGTTTCAGAGTAAAAGTGATAAATGTACTGCAGAGTCATTCTGTTAAAACAGAATAGTCTTTGTAGGATTTGAGAGACAGCAATCTTTCTTGCAGAACGCAAAAACGTAGAGACAATAAACTCGATCGTATCAATTGCTAAGTTCATGCACATAACAGGAATGAGATTAAAGTGAACGGAATGTAGTTCTTTTTGTTAAATCATCCATCACCCTCATGACGGGCAAAACATGGGCCTGTCTTTAATTTATCCGCTCAACAGTGAGAGAGACCAGTAAGTGCGAGACGTCGTTCCCCGCTCCTACTAGGATAAACTATTTCTGCGTAGGAATCGGATAGCTGGAACGCAGAAGAGCAGCCCTTGAGTCTGAATTGGCCAATTTACAAAGCAATAGCCTACTTGTATTCAAAGTGATTTTTGAATTGGTCTTCTAGGGAAGGTTTCGTAATCGTTTTGTTTCATAAAAGACGGGGAATATCTTGACGAGCTTAGCGAATATTAGATTCTTAAGGACCATGTTGTGAAAAGTACGACGGAACCTTTTTTGTGGGTGAATTAAAAAGTGATAGTGGAACCACGGTTCCGGAGAATTTGACGTAAATACGTCTATACGGAAAGGAAGTTTATATATTGGCTTTATTCTAAATATTTCCTTTCTACCAGCTTTACAATTGAGATAATTTTGATGAAGACATTGCTTATTTAACTTGAATTAGTTACGCTTAATATTAGTCTCTGACCGCATGTGAAATGAAAGGAGAGACGTTTAAGAAGACATGTGTCTTACGAATGGATAGCTGGAATTCTGCATGGAAGTAAATATGCAAAATTTTACTAAAAACATGAGACGAAAGATTGTTGAAAGTGTGAAATATACACTTCCTTCCGACCTTATATACGAGGTGCGATCGAAAGGTTTCCAGACTGCGCGTATAACAACCCGTACACTTATCTCAGGTATTACATTCATCCATCACCCTCGAAGTAGTTCCCCTGGGAGTGAACACAACGATCCCAGCGCCGCTGCCAAGCCTGGAAGCATCCCTGGAAATCTTTCTTTGTCAGCCTGTCAAGCACCATCTGCGATTCTGTCTGAATCTCTTCTATCGTCTCAAATCTCCTTCCCTTTAGCTGAATTTTCATTTTTGGGAAGAGGAAGAAGTCACACGGAGCTAAGGAGGTTGCGGGATGACGGCCATGGTGTTTGAGGCCAAAAACTGCTGAACTTTGAGGGCGGTGTGCGCTGGCGCGTTGTCTTGATGCGTCGCATGTGGAGTTCTTCCTTTAGAATCAGCTGACAGGTCCCAACAATGTCGCACAAGTCGTTGATGGTACGACGTCGATCTTCGTGAATGGCCTGCCGAATCTTGGTAACATTTTCGGGCGTTGTGCTCGAAGATGGTCGTCCAGAATGCTCGTCATCATCGACAGGGGTTCGGCCATTTTTAAAACGTGAATGCCACACAAAAGTTTGTGCACGACCCATTTCGAAGTATTTCCCCAAATGCTTGCTTTAGCATTTCATAGGTTTCCGTAGCCGTTTTGGCGAGTCTTTGGCAAAATTTGATGCACACGCCATTCCGAAATCGCAGGAGGGTCGGTGTAATGCACTACCAAAACGCCCGTAACTAAGAAACAAAGGCTAATTCGATGATGCCGGCTGGCACACTGATTCACTATGAATGTAGGCCGCACCCCCTAGCGGCAGAAGCTCGTACTACATCCGGTTCGACCTCTATTGACACAGTCTTGAAACTTTCCGATCGCACCTCGTACGTTCAGCATTAGTTTTTGATATTTTTTGGGAACCTTAGGTTCATTATCTAATACTTCTATTTTTTCTATGTTTTCTGTACTGTCTCATATATTCTGTTTTATGGAATCTTTTAGCTTCAATGTCATCCATCTTAATAATCCTTATATAAGATAAGTAATTGTGGTATTTTAAAACATTTTTACCAGCACAAAATTATCTACTCCACGACGCACTTCTTCTACAAGCGAATCACAGCTCAGCTCTTTCCGCAATAACGAAAATAATGTGACACAATGCCAAGTAACGTTTCCTAGGTAACAACAATGCCGAGTTAACAGACGACGTTCCCTAGGTAACCACTGTTATCGGATCTTTTTCGTTACACTTTTTCGTTTCCCTTTTTCGTTGCACTTTTTTGCCGAATGACCCTTCCTTATAGACGTATTTACGTCAAAAAACGGCACATTTACACAGTAAACTACGCCTACGGATAATAACAATGGATTATCCTGGATAAAAAATTAATTGCCGTTGTTAAGAGATTGTGAAAAATTGCATTCCTCACTAAATCTGATGAGCTGAAATGTAAAGAATTACATAAATTCAATTGAATAAGAATTTTCTTGGATATTATCCATCGTCTAGTAAATATAAAACGTAAAACGACGTTTCGGAGATGGGACTCTATCTCCGTCTTCAGGTTCCTACACAGTTGGGCCCACTAGATAGAGCTAATCCCTGGTCCGGAGATATCCAAGAAAATTTTTATTCAATTGACTCTTCACCATCGTCAAGACGTTTTAGATTTTAAATTACATAAATTGCTTACGGTTTTGGGGCCATATAAAAAATGTGAACTTCGTTTCAGCAAAAAGTACCACGTCTTAATATCTCCCTACATTATGGAACATACTGTACATTTGTTTTACTCTTTTAGATATGAACATCGACTTCTGACGATACAAGAGGCCATGTTGGTTTCCATGGCAACTGGGAAGTAACAAAACACTTGTGATTTCTGTTTATCAGCTCATATTGTTTTTATTACAAAGTTGTCTTAAATGACTGAAAAACGAAGATCAGTTTATGATCTGGTGAAAGAAAGGTTCCGAATAGGAGAGAGAGTAAGTCATTTGTGGTTTAAATAATTCGTGTGCTGTAACGTAAAACCATATTGAATCGTGATCTTTTTCTTGAAAGCCTCCATAACGGCAGAAAGAAATATCAGGCAACGAAGTGTGATTCTGAGCTTAAGACCATTTTCTAGGGGAGCACCACGGCTATTAGAATTGTGAGGCCGCTTCTTTATACATAGCCATAGAACGCTGGCCTTGTAATCCTGGGGTCTCGGGTTCGATTCCCGGCGGTGCCCTAATTTATAACTTGTGTTGGGCAAGGCAACACGGAGTTTTCCTCCGGGGGCATTCCAACAATTACTCCATTCACACACAGAAGAAGGCAATGGCAAACCACTTCTGTATCATCTGCCAAGAACGTATATGAACAGGTCCCAGTCCGAGAAAAGGATGGAAGGATCATGTTCATATGGCCCTGTCGTCAGACAGAACACTAATAATAAAAAGCAGCCACACTGACGGACAACGGCACATATACACTGTTATTCTTTTGTAATATTTTATATTTCTCATGAGAGACTGGCGTATCACCGAATATTCCGGTGCAGTGGGCAGCAGCACATTATAAAATAAGCCACGATCTCTCTATGAGATTTGAGGTTCTCGCGGTATCGAGTATGCAAATTGCTGTCTTCTGGGTTGCAGCGCCGTGCAATCTGGTAAAAGTTTACCGACGTTTGAGAGGTACCTGCTGCCTCCATCATTATTATGACGATGGTCATCGGTGAACTTCTAGCAGACTACAACCCAGAAGACAACCATCGCAACAATCTCTCTCCCACATCCTTTCCAATTTATCCATTATTTATTTCCTCGCTTTCCATTTTCTTTCTTTTATGTTTCTCAATTTTCTTCTCTCTCTTTTTATCAATCTGTCTACTATTCGGTACTATTCACTACAGTCAATCAACTAGCGAATAGAACTGCGTATTTCACTAGGAGAGATTCAAATGTGTGTTATCAATCAGGTGACGTACCTGCATCGCGTCATCTATGTTGGGGAACACAGTTTCAGCGAAAATCCGACAATGAAGCAGTTTTTCGAAGGAATAATTATGGAGGTAAACTCTCAGGACCCAGACGAAATCCTCACAGGATTCCTGCTCTACTACCACAAGCTGTTCGTGCATATTGTTGAGGTGGGTAGCCAGTTTGTGGAATGTACTACATGCCATAAAGACATTCCCGAACAATGAAGAGTTTTAATTGAATAATTTTTTTGGATATTATCCATCGTCTAGTAAATATAAAACGTAAAACGACGTTTCGGAGATGGGATAGCTCTATCTAGTGGGCCCAACTGTGTAGGAACCTGAAGACGGAGATAGAGTCCCATCTCCGAAACGTCGTTTCACGTTTTATATTTACTAGACGATGGATAATATCCAAAATTTTTATTCAATTGACTCTTTACCATCGTCAAGAAGTTTTAGATTTGATAATGAAGAGTTTAATTTTAAACATTTTTCGATCGGTAAAGAAATACAAAGAAACACGAATTCAGACTTTAAGTAGCACAGACGAACAGCTTTGCAACAATTTTAATCTGATCACTATTGGCGTTCATGTGCTTTTTCTGTTTCTGAAGAAAATACAAACTTGGTCTACATATTTAAATATTTAATTATTTTTATTACTTAATTACTCTTTAAAGATAATGGAACATAAAATGATTCATTACATATCATTTACACCATACGAGCGGTAACAACAGCAAAAATAAAATATAAATAACGCATATTAGGGAGATATATACAATTTACATCAATGGAATTAAGATTTAATTATATAAAGAAATAAAATTTAAAGTAGATGTACATCGCTACAAGATTTATATCTGTAACAAATTCACATGAAGATGAAGATAAAAGTAAGAAAATCAAAAGATAATATTAACATAAATAAGTTTTCCGTGAACGCATTTGGTTAGTGGTACATTTAATGTGTTAAATTAGAATTAGTGGTACGCCAGTGGAGAAGGTTGAGAACCCCTGGTCTAAGGTATAAAGATAAAACAGCAAAGAACGCATATGGAAAACGTGTACTCTCCAAATCGAAATTGAGTACATCTTCCGAATCTCGAAAATTTTGCGTTTATGTAATGCATAACCCATAAACCAATCAATCATTAATTCACAGCAGCTAGTTGCAATGTCCGACATTGGACACTATACTGGATCGGGAAATACTGTTCGCATAATCGCAACCAGTTTCTCTGTAAATTTTCAACAATTCCAGGGATCCGAAGCAACAATCCTGAGACATCTACGCAGGGTCTACGCGCTTATAGACGGGGGCGAAGCAAGACTCGGCACTATGAGAGTTCTCATCGTTTGTCACAACATCAACGAGGTACCCGTCTCTGGTAATATATCTTCACACAATAAAGCCATGGCAACTGAATAATGGAAAGTAAGACAAAACTATACCATAAATACAAACCCTTTTAAAATGGAAATAAATTTGGAGATAATAACAACAAATAAAAATAAAGCTCGTGATGAAATTAATAAGGCAGATTAAATTCGGAAAATGCTTGCTACCATGCAGTTCAGAATATCTGTCTTCTCGTCTGCTATCCAAAACCATAAAGAAACTATAATTTTATCTGTTGTTTTGCATGGGTGTGAAACTTGGTCCTTTACAGTAAATTAATAACACAGAGTGAGGGTGCTGAGAAGAATACTCGACATAAAAATAGACTAAGTATCATAAATAATGAGACGATTCGTAAAATGTGCTCTTTGCAAATATTATTGGACTCATCAAGAAGAGGATGAGATACATGAGGCATGTAGTCACATGAGAGATATTTGAAACACTTATACAGTTTTAATCGGAAAACACTGCCTGGCTAGCGGTTGTACCGAGGTTGCATGTCAGCACGTTAACTACATATATGTATATACGTGGGAAAAGCACTTACCTCTACATTTCTCCAACCAGTTCCTCAAGATTCAGATCGATGTACACTGATCGTAGAATCAGTCAAAATAAATAATTATAGTTCTGACATGATCATATGACCACAGTTACGCTGCTTCCGCTCACCCGTCTGTCAACTGTCAATAGTTCTCTCATCTTTTACGCGAGCAGCGACACTGTCGCCACGTGTGGCACCCATACATAATATTTAAACGAAACATTCATATCTCTAATTACGAAATTCTAAATTAAAATTCAAACAAATAAAAATACGCCCCCTTTTAGTGCCTGCCATCATTATAATGATTGTTTATGTAAAATAATCTTTTGCTGTCTGTTGAATTTCCTCAGAAAATAATTACATACGACGTGATCGAACGTAACTAAGCAAAGTAGACTAATTTTAAAGTTTCTGATTTTATGGATAATGTATTGAGGAGTTTTCCACTGTAAGTTACCGTCAATTTGTAGGCCAAGAAATTTAGTTGTTTCTACTTTTTCACCTGGTTTATCCTCACACCTTTAAACACAATTTTTGTTGGTAGTAGAAATTTTCATGACAAAATGTAATATGAGTTTATTGGCTTTAATATACTGCAGATTATCTGTACTTGCAGAGATTTTTCAAACAATGGACTGGATGCATGGCCAGACCCCCATCACTTGAGGGAACTGATCCTACATGTGACGCACAAACGTGGCAGAACGTCAGGGCCTGCGTCACCAAAATGTACAAGCTGTCCGCGTTCTTGAACCAACAGTCCATGGTCAGTATCACTAACATTTTGCTGGAATCGCACTGAAGTTCAAATAATCAAATGTGAATACAACGTTGGTAAACTTTACCCTATGTCAATGCCTTAAAAGACGTGCATTTTCGATCTTGACACTATATGTATATCACTGGGGGGTAATTATGGCTATTATCCTCCCCCCGGGGGGCCGGTCAGATCTATTTCAAAATGACCTCTGGCTGGTGAATCACACGAGAACATTTATGTAGTTCAGAAATTGTTAAACAACTATAGATTAACCGCACTGACTGAACATACTTTATTCTCATAGACATACAAAAATTGCATTATTAATAATTAATTCACATAAGATTCACTGATTCCGATTGGTGTTTTCAAGGTGTTCCGTCAAATGAAATCGATTCTGGATTAGGCCCCTTTCGACTTTCTCGGCGCAAATTTAGGTAAAGCATAGAAACAGTATATTTAAGCACTTGGGACCTCAGAACTTCAATTTATTTGAAAACAAAGATTATCGACTGTTATACTTTCTGTATGAGAAGCTGGATTGTGTTATTAACTAGTGGAAGCAGCCAACTGAAATTCAACGGGAACAATTTATTTAAAATCTTCATACCTTTATCTCCTTTCACATTTTCCTCATATTCATCTCCATTCCTTTCAGCTTCTAACAGTAATAGTGTATATTTTTGTCACCCACAATTAATCCTAAACGCTACCTATTCGTAGCACCACTTCTAAAAATACGACACAGTGCCATCTAGCATCATTACTGAGAACTTCAGGCCTCTGCAAGTTCAAGCAAGCAAACATCAAAATGGGTTTTTATATTTTAATGCAGGTCTCTGAATATCACTGTGCAGGTAAATGTGAACACAGCTATAGACCATTTATCACAGACAGTGCCAACCTACCTGCCTGAAATTGACCTCCTCACCTTCTTGTTAGGGAGCAAGGTGCTTCTGGATCTTCGAAAGTACATGAACATATACTTCATCATAGTCACAAGAAAATCTTACCAAGGTAAGCTGACTATTTATTTACCCTGTTTGTCTACCTGTCCAGTCTGATTCTATTGTATACACTAATATCATACTGAATGAAATCTTCATGGGCAATCAGCCACATCAGGTGCCTGTAAAAAACTGACTTTTGAGAGCTGCCTCAGTCCCCATCATCAGGGTACTCGTATGTCTGCAGAGCCCAGGATGTCTCATATATATACCTGCCTGGATTGGTTGTGGACGATTGCCAGCGAAGACTTCGTTTAGTTGCACTGACAGCTTTCAATCATACATTAATATTAGTGGTTTAGGATACTAATATCTCTGAAACTAAGTACAAAAATTATGCCACTAGAGAAACAGGATGTGAGGATGAAGACTGGGTAAGCTGGCTGAGGATAGACTTTTACAAACACAGTGACTTATTTTTGAATGCCATAAATGCAAATAATTTCATAACTATCTAAGTGACTATCAATTTTTCAAAGAAAACTCTTTGCAAAATGTATTAATTATGGAGACATGTTTTATTTCAGAAAGCATCTGGCCCATTCAGGCAGAACTCGTTCCATTCCAGTTCCTGAATCCTGAAGAATATACATTCCTATGTGATGTGGAGGATGTGCTGGCGAGACCAACTGCCAGTATAGAAACAGAGCCCCAGTCATGAGGAACCACAATGACCAAAACTGGGCATGTGGCCTTCTGGCACATTCTTTGTATGAAATGCTCTCTCTCATAGCTGATGCTTTTGATTAAAATCTTGACACATGACTTTTACACATGCACATGTTCAATGCTTTACTGACAGACATTTTTCTCAAAATCCATAATTTTGGTGGAGAAACTTCTTGCAAAATTACCATTTGGTAGGAGCACAAGGAGATGGTCAAAACTAGTCCACAAATGTATGATCTGAAGCTTTCACATCGCCTAAGTACAATGAATTCTTCGCGGGCTACCAGCCTTGAAAGCTGGTTTAATGAAGAAAACACCAGCGTTTTGAGAACCATCCTCACCCTTAGGACTAGGATGATAATTGGTGGTTTCTTTATTAAACCACCTTATATGGCTGGTAGCCTGAGAAGAATTAATTATAGTCAACAACTGTCTCTCATGGTGGAATTTGGTACTTGAGTTGTTGAACTTTCATACTCTGGCACCAAAGAGTTAGTTAATGTTAGTATTGTTATAATTTTTAAGAAAGACATCACAATCTAGGCAATTAAAATTACACACTTGTTCTAATAATTGATCAAAAACAATTTATTTAATTGGGTCTCTTCCCCAGAACCTAACTGCAATGCTGGACATTTTAAAATTGTATTGCTTAAATTAATACCCCAGGAAGATACATATCACAACAGAGCCCAAGTTAGGAACAGATTTATTAATTAGTGGACAATGATGACTAATTTGGTATGACTACTTTCACAAACCTACTGAAGAGACCATGCATTGTTTTATACTTCACCATTTTAGAGGTCTCTTAATGTCTTCTCCCTTTGGGTTGATATTTAGCAAGTGCTTTATAATAAATAAAAATATCTAGACACTTTACATTTAACAGACAGTTACATCTATATGAGCGTACTTTTGTTACATAACACGCAAAATATGTAGACATTTTAGATAATTTTGTGTAACATTTTTAAATTAGTCTTATATGGACAGTCTTAATGTTTACACTAGTTTCTTACGCAAGAAAGGATTATAGTATGATTTCAACATAGAAGTTATTAAATATTTGATCCATGCTCTACTTGAGAAGCCAGTTATTGAAAAATGGGACAACTTTACTTTGTCCTACCTCAACAAATTTAAGTGTGAATATTGTGATTACAAAATCAGAACACTGTGCAAATAAAGAATTGCGAGATTTAAATCTTTGACAGGTTGGTGGTAAGAGTAAAGATGCACAACCTCTGAAGCTGGAATCAAAATACAATATCATTCAACATAACAAAGTTACTGAAGTAACCTTTACCTTAAATATCAAATTATAAAAGCTTCAACTTCAAATCTAAAATATGAGAAGTAATGTATGGAAAATTTATAAATTAGAACACCACTCAACAAATGCTTACAGTATAAAGCTCAAAATAAAGTTTGGGGTAGAATTAATAAACATGGTCATAAAGGAATGCTGCTCACTTATCAGGTATACGTCAGTCAAAATCTTTGGCTCTGCAACAATCCAGAATTATATTTATTAACAGTCAGTAAACAGTGTTTCTCAACTGGCATGCTGCATAATTTTTAATTTAAACAAGTTCCTACACAAGTTTACTGACAGTGGTAGTAAAAATGAGATGATGTTCAGTTCTGTTTTGTCACATCATCAGTCTGTACTGCAATTTCATTCCTTACGGTGTTGCACACTCAACATTTTTCACATTATATTATATTCCTTACAAACTGCTTATTTTGGAGTAACTTTTTAATCTCAATATTTTATTTGTCATTTGTTACTTGTTTTGTTAATTTTTTATGAAATTTAATGTATATTACAAAAATATACAAAGAAAACACTAACAATTATAAAGAATAAAATAAATATAATTTCATGACAGTAAATTATATTTTTGAGTAATGCAGAGTGAAAAAGGTTGAGAAATACTGCATCAAAGTGATGAGCAATCAAACTTGAAGATTTTTTCACACACATTAGCTAGTGAAATAGCCTCTTGTTTTCCACAAGACCTATGGGTATAAATTAAATTATGTACCTTGAAGACAACTGTCATTTTAGCAAATTTTGTCAAATTCATGAGTCATTACTTCATTAAATGAATGAAAGTAAATTTAGATAATTTTCACAAGGCCTTTCTTCTTAATGCAAAACAAAATGAGAAACGTCAGAAATTACTATTTGGATGGTTAACTGCTTTACATTTAGCTATGCTGTTCAGAACTTGGATATTTAAATTAGAAACTAAAGGAACAATGCATATAACCCTGTAAGTGCTCAATTTATAAACTCTGTGGCTTTCTGGTCTGCATTTATGCAGTGCTTGTTAAAGAAATGTTGCCTGTCATCTCTCAACAGTTAAAGTGAACTATTTAAAATATAACAGAAGAATGTTTCTGTAAATAAAAGCCAGTACTGAAAGGGTTAAGATGCATGTCTTAATTATTTTTACTCTAAATGACTTGAAAATTTACAACCTATCATAACACAACAAAGGGTTATAACAAATGGGACTCACCAGAAATCACTTCTATTGTTCACATATTTTGATCTTCCTACAAATTAACTAATCTTCGTCTTCACTTCGCTTCCGCTTCATGCTCGACCTGTAAAGGAAATAACTGGAATGACTGAGAGAGCTGCACGATACCACATCACTTACTGGAAATAACATTTTATTGTTTAAAAAATGTTGCTCTCATAACCACATGAAATATGGTTTAAATACACATGATACAGTGAAAAGATGACAACTTCAGTTTTTAACACCTATTCCTACTGGTAGTGTCTTTTCTGTTCACAAAGTTGGGTATGTTGATTGAAACAACTTCTGTTAAATACTGCTACAAAGAAATAAATTGACAAGTTACACATTTCTATGACACATCACATGACATTCTATAGTGATTCACATTCTATGTCAGTGATTCCCAAACTGTTCTACAGATAACGTTATGTAATAGAAAATTTCAAAACAAATATCAACCTAGTTTCAGTTACATTCTTAATAGCACTAAAACTTCAAACAGTGATTCCATTCATAAGTAACATTCTAAGATGGCGCTGCTGATTAAGAATTCGAAAACATTTCTTTTTCTCCTGTACTAGGTTTTTAGCAGAAACAAGACTGCACCTGAAATGATGATATTTGCTTACACGACCTTGCAATTAAGGAACTGGAATTCTGTACTTGTAGGCTATATTTTAAAAATATAAGTTATGGTGAATTTCCTTGATTAATTTTTGACACACTCTCATATAATCCTTAGATATATGAAGCTCATCTTAACAATATCTTAAAATCTCGTTCCTATCTCCCTGAAAATGCAACCTCATTTCAGTTATAAAGATCAGTTGGGTTAATGTTCAAAGAAACAATTGCTGCTTATTCTGAAAACAAAATTAAACATGTAATTACATTGTGGACGAAACTGCAAGTATTGAGTATTAAAACAGGTGGTATGTAAAGTTGTCTCTTTTAAAGGGTGAAGCACACTAAGAGGTGAAAATGGATAATGCAAGTGTGTCCCTTTTTCATAGTATGCCCAGACCAATTTGCAAGAGAAACAAAGGACAGCAAAATCATTCATGCCAATGTCAGATATACTACACAAATGTCATACATTTTTAACATTGTTAACCCTTCACTAGTGTCTCTCATATATATATGACTTTTGGTATTTGTCTGGGGTTGCAGACAAAAAGTTTGGGAAACACTGTTCTATGTCAACTATTCCATACAGCAGAGTTAAAAAATGATCATCTACCTTACATATAAAGCTAGTATGTAAAAATACAATTCCATTTCAGATACTGAACATGGTATAATATGAACATATTTTCTTATACAGTCACAGAAATACAAAATACGTTTGTGAGGTACACTGAACAGAAGTGTATGTGCTGTGGTCCATCTTTGTTTCAATTTTTATATCCAGGAAGCAGTTTTACACATAAACAGTAACTCCCAATATGTTCATAACAAATAATGAAATAAAATCCTCACTGAAATTCTGTGTAACCATATTGTCAACAATATGCAGAAGAGCTGTCTTCATATTCTGCAAATGGATAGGCACTTTGAAATGTTCTGTTGCCAGTCACACTGTAGAATGCTATACTGCACCAGCCACTATTTCCTTCAGCCTGTTGTTGCCTTGTGGAAATATATAAGTGGGAATGTAAAGATACAAAATTTAATGTGTAACAACACTTTCCTTCCAAGTACAAAAATTACTTCTTTCACAACAGTTCCAAGCACCGGATGTAATCAGAAAATAAATTTTACAAGGCCTGTTCTTGAAGTGATTTGCTGAATCTTTCATGCAGATAACACATCATCATTGTGAAACTCATAAATTTTTGTTCTGTAAATCACATCATGGGATGAATTTCTTTCCCCCCCTGTCCACATAAAGATGATGTGGGAACAGCACTAAAATGATGGGTGAAAACATATGGTATTGCCTTCTATGTAGAGGGGATGGAAAAACTCATCCCAAAGCATAATGATCTTAATCTTCAAGGACACTGTTCACACAATTGTGTATAATCCACACTGAAGATTCAACAGAACACCTCATAATATATGCCTAAAAAATGTATTTTCTGACATGCCTCACATCCTATGTTTCTAGATCATTTAGTACACATTTCAATTCTTTTCAAATATGTACAACTTATTAAATCAAGTTATATACACATCCCAAAATGAACGCTTCTGAAAATGAACTAACAGAACATAGAGGTCTGTTTCCACACTTAAATACTGAGAAACTATTAATCAGTGAAGTGTCACAAATTAGAAACATCTCCTTAAGGTGCACAAAGCCAAGACTCTTCAGTTTCAGTTGTATTGGATGAATCAAATGTTTTGGAAAATATTGCTGTCTTCAGGTCATGTGTCTGTCAGTGAATGAAATGTATATTGAAACGTTGGATCCATCAAAATAAGCAACATGGCTAAAACCAAAGAACCAAGACTTGTATGTAGCTTTGGTTTAATGCTCAAGCTACATTATTTGTTTGCAAGTATCCAATGTTTTTTGGCAAATGGGGTAACCACAATATTTAGTGTGGATCTGTAATC